CAATTAAATTCTCAGATACAGTGACTTATTTCATATATTCAGTGGGACTTATATTTTTAAAAGATTTTCAAGGAATCCATAGGATAACACCATAGGATAATGCTACAGGTGAAATAAATGAGAGAAGAGGAAATAACTTTAATGTAGGACTAAGACAGTGCCTGTGGTGAGGAGAAAAATGAGTTTTAATCAATTACCAAGCTGCAAAATCAACAGGCTGATAGTAGAAAAGGAGCTGGCATCCATGCATTTATTGAGGTGAAGCAAATACTGATAAATAAAACCAGTTCTCTCTGAGAACAGGATTCAACTACTTTCACATGTAAAATTTCGTCAAATTCTTTAATGCTAAGTAAGGCAAATAATATTTTTATTTTTTCCACTTGCTCAGACCAAAAAACCTAAGTTATTATTTACTTTATATGTTCAATCCAAGGTAGAATATCTTTCAACTAATCACTTCTCCCTGTATCCATCCCTACCATGTCCAAGCTTACAATTATAACTCTCCTGGACTACTATTGTAGACTCATTAGTGGTCACATGATCTCTCCTACTCAACTCTAGCTTGAAACTTAAGCTAGAACATGCTTTGTTCATGCAAAACTAAGGCTACTCTTTCCAAAAAGAATTAAACACAAATTAGATAAAAAAGTCAAATTGCACAGTAACCACCTTAAAAATTTTAAATTAAAATGGTGAGATTTATCTAAATTTAGCTCAATATATCCAAAATCTGTCTTTTCAATATGTAATCCATATAAAAATATTAATGAGTTATTTTACATTCTTACTACATTTGTGCCCAGTTTCTAAAATTTGGTTGTGCATTTTAAACTTTAAAGAAACTCTTGTTTGGACCTGCCACATTGCAAGCACTCAATAACCACTTATAGTTAATGGCTACCTATTGAGCAGGTAGTTCTATTGACTTTTTATCCACTATACAGTAAAATGCTACATCTTCCTTGTGGTCTGTGAGGTCACATATAACTCATTTTCTGTCTTGATATCTATAGACTGATATAGCAAACATGCCTACACATTTGCAATTTTCGGTCTCTGGAATAACACACACGCACGCACATGCACACACACACACACACACACACCACCCCACGCCCCAATATAGGCACATGACTTTCTTCTTCACTTCTTTCAGGTCACTGCTCAGATTTCAATTTATCCGGAATGTAAGTACTTATTTTACTATTTCCAGTAGGAATTCTTAATTTGGGCCTGCCACAGGGAAATAGTACTTTTCTTCCATTATGTTACATTGCTACTTGTATTTACTTTTCTTTATTGCAGTTACACCACCTAACATCATATATGTTGATTTACTACGATTATTTGCTCTTTCGCCTCAAATAGAATGCAAGTTCCATGGGAAGAGGAAATTTGCTTTTTTTTTTTTTTTTTAAGATTTATTTATTTATGCATACAAGAGCTGGGGTACAGGCCAGAGGTGTGTGTGTGGGGGTGGGGTGAGAGGATTCACCAGAGACAGAGTGGGGAACAGAACAGGCAGAATGACCAAAGTACACTGCGGAGGGGAGCACCAGTGGGGTGAGTCAGGAGAGGTATGCTGTGCCATGTGGGTTGCTCCCTGGCTGGCCAGGAATCGAACTCATGCTACAGTTACTGTGGATAGCTTCACAGGCTGCATCTTAACCCTTGTGCCACCAGGGAAGCCCTGGGATTTGCTTTTTGTTCACTTTTAATCTGTAGTGTTTATAACCAATAACTACTTTTTATTTAATGAATAAATCTCCAGTATTAAAATGTGGATATTAGTACTTTAAAGAACTGAATTACTGGATCAAGAGCTCCTAGCTAATCTTTGGTGAACAAGGGCTTGAGTCTAGTTCCTCTGAATTCAAAAGCAACAAGAGCTGTCTGGAAGGGGAAAAAGTTAATAAATGGCTTAGAAATTTCACACAAGAATTTCCTCAAAGTGTCTTCATATTTGAACGATAAAAGCATTGCAACTTTTTCTCTCTACAAAGGATAATACTCTAGGAATTGACAAGGCAAAATGCACAGGCTAAATCCTTACTGCTATCTCTTTTTGGAAATGAACCTTAATTTTAAAAAATATTTTGTTAATAAAATTATTGTTTTCAATTTAAAATAATTAACATTTAAATGTTCGAATAAAAATAAATGATTTAAGAAGAAAACAATTTAAGTAACACTAATAAATTATATTATTATAAAATTTACTATCAAAATATATTTAATTTTATTTATTAAGATAATAATATCTCCCCTTTAATAAAAATCTCCCTGAATCCTCTAATTCTAAAAGAGGGTAAATATGATCAAATAAAATGGATTGGTTTATTTGCCTTTCAACTTAACCTTCCCCCCATATTAATTCTAATTTATTACACTGATTAAATAAAACATAAGTGCTAACATTTATTGTTTACAATTTCACAGGGAGCCCTCCCAAGAGATTTAATGGTTCTTATCCTAGAAATTTATGCCTTGGCTAGAGTTCTAAAGTTTATTTTGTAACCTTAATTCCAGGAGCTATAAATTAATTACAAAGTCACATTTCAGATACTGCATAAAAATTTCATGGTGATGGGCTTTCTACTCCAAATAACTAATTCAGTAATGTCCTACTATCATTGAATTTTCATATTATATTTAGAAACAGAGAAATGTTTATGCAACTATTCGTTGCATAAATTATCAATTCCAATTTATACTGCAACACAGTATTTTCAAATACTTTACGAAAATGCCACTTCTGTAGGTTCCTTTTTTTAAAATATTTATTTATTTATTATACAAGAACTGGGATACAGGCCAGATGCATGGGAGGGTGAAAGGATTCACCAGAGACAGAGTGGGGAACAGAACAGGCAGACTGATAAAATACACTGCTGAGGGGAGCAGCGGGTGCCACAGGAGAGGTCTGCTGCACCATGCGGGCAGTTGGGATCCAACTGGCACTGCAGAGGTTGCGGACAGCTTCAAAGCACTGCACTTAACAGCCTGCGCCACCAGGGGAGGCCCTTCTGTAGGTTCTTGAACCATTTATATTTCAGAATCCTAAACTGTTTTTTACTGATTACAACTTCTTGGTAAGGTCAAAGGAGATTGGAGAAGACATGAAATGCAGAGATTTCTTAGCTGCTTCTTTAGATACTATTGCCAATCAATTGTTGGTTATGGTAAGTTGTCTCTATCCTAATTCTCACAGTTGTTTCTCCTACTTCTCAATTTCAAAAACTTGTAAGTAACAAAAACAGAAGGCTCACAAAGATATAGCCCTAAAGTCAAACTAAAGTACTTCAGAACATAGATATGTAAGATCACCTGTAGTAAGCAGAGTCTTACTAGAATTATTTTATACTTTAATATAATTAAAAAGGGTTGTTTCATTACAAAGGGGTATTGACTTTCTCAAAGAAGACACAGAAATGGCCAGCAAGCACATTTAAAAACATTCATAGTTACTTATCACACGGGAAATGCAAATAAATCAAAACCACAAAAAAGATACGATCTCATACCCATGAGAATTGCTTGTATAAAAAAGATGAGGAAGAAGAAATACTGGTGAAGATGTGGAGAAAAAGGAAACCTTGTACACTGTTGGTGATAATGTTGACTGGTTGGTCCAGGCATTATGTAAAGTAGTTTTGCAGTTTCTCAAACTATTAAAAAAATATATCTACCATATAATCCAGCAATTCCACGCCTGGGTATCTACTAAAGAATGAAAAAAAAAAAAAAAAGGCCTCCCTGGTGGCACAAGGGGTTAAGACACAACCTATGAAGCTGTCCACAGCCTCTGCAGCATGAATTCAATCCCCAGTCAGGGAGCAACCCACATGGCACAGCAGACCTCTTCTGCCTTGCCTATTGCTCCCCTCAGCAGTGTATTTCAGTCAATCTGCCTGTTCTGTTCCCCACTCTGTCTCTGGTGAATCCTCTCACCCCCACACCTCTGGCCTGTACCCCAGCTCTTGTATGCATAAATAATAAATAAATCTTTAAAAAAATGGAAAAAAAAAACACTACTGAAAAAAAAATAACAGTGAAAAAACACCCTGTTATGTTCACTGAAGCACTTAGCAATGGCCAAGTTATGGAAACAACTTAATGCCTAATGATGATGAATGGATTAAGGAGAGATGGTCTATATAAGGTGGTATATATATGCAATGGAATGCTACTTAGCTGTGAAAAAGATGACTTGCCATTTGTGAACAACATAGACAGAACCAGAGGAAATTATGTTTAGTAAAATAAGTTAGAAGGAGAGTTATATACCAATTATTTCACTCATATATGGAATATAAATAAAGAGACAGACAGAAACAAACAAATTCAAACCCTTGTAATCTGTTTACAGAATTTAGATGGCCAGGAGGGATGGAGTAAGGCCAAAAGTCTGTGGTAGATGTTGTGTGGCAATATATATTTCAAGAAGTGCGAACCTGTGCTATTAAACCATATAGAATGCTATGAAATCTATGTCCCCTCAATTTATATATATATGTATGTCACATAATGTATATCATATATATAAGATTAGTCACATAATGTTTTCAAAGAATAAGCTTTAAATGTGTAGACATACCACTTTAAAAAATAACACTCCCATGGACTAATTGGATTGCTGTCATTTTGAGACTTTTTAAACAATTTGGGACAATAAAACTGAAATATACACTATACTCAAATAATGAATATTGTGAATTTATTCTGTATATGCAGTACTTTGACATGTCGATTTATCAATCAAAGCATTCTGAATAGCTCTCACTTAAATTTCATTCCTACTTGAAGGTTCTCTAAATCTTCATTTAGTTCAAATGAACTAAATGAAGAAAACAGCAGAGGCAATTACTAGAAATATGTCAGCTAAATTTTATTAAGACAGTGTTAATGTTTAATCTGAACTTTGAAAAATGACACAATCCAATTAGAACAATGTCTACATGAAAAAAAAATATAAGTAAACAAAAATTAATTACTCTGTAAGGTCTTCTATCTTCTTTTCCACTAGAGTAGGAGGCACATTAGAAACAATCACTTGCATATCCAGTTGATTGACAACAGACACCTGAAAAAAGGTGGACAAAAGTTCACTTAGCTATTACTCAGTAACATTTCTATAATGAAAGATAAAAGATAACTATCTCTTCCTTACAAAGCATAGACACAATAGTTTCCCATTTTTAAATATAGGAACAGTGATATTTTTAGTTACACAAACTCTAAGTTTCTGGGGAAGGGTAAGAATAATAGAATATTTGTTTCTTACCTAAACGTTAAAAATTCCTATGTGAATTCCATTGTTGATTTTGTTTGCTTTCTGGTTTATTTACTAATGCAACAAAGGTATTTTTGTTTGATGTAAAATTGCATTATAACATGTTTCAGGTGTATGTCACTGAAAATCAACATGTGCATGCACTACCTGTAGAACACCACTAAAATATCCAATTTCATCCTTCAACATACAATTAACCACTTTGACCAATATATTGGTTTTTAATTTTGTTATAAAAGAACACAGAACAATGGAAAGCCGGCCCTATAGATTTTACGAATGTTGGGAAATCATTTATTCACTGTGACTAAGAACAGAGCTAAGACTTACTCAAATTCATTCTATGAAATCATCATATATAACTTTCATGTCTGCTTTCACCAACTTTATTTTTGTGCAGATGAGATATATTCATGCAGATATATATTTACATATGGAGCTAAAATCAGCTAATTAAGTAAATTTATGAATCTGTCCTATTCATTTAACATTTTCTGAATTCCTTCATGGTTCATATTTAGAAAAATGGAAGAAAAAACTATTTATTCTGTGCTCACAACATAGATTTACCTATTCTTTCAATAATCTATAGGTTTTAAATTACTTGAATCTAACAACCGCTGTCTCAGGTAGTTATTACTGTCATTCCAATTTATTTTTCATATTCAAAAGAGCAGGTTTACTATAAAAAGGAAAAGGAAGGGAAGTCAAGGATGCTTGCACAGACACAAGCAAGAAGAAAGATTTGCCCCTGAACCGGACAGGTTTGTTAGAAGAGAGGCTTGCATGGTCACAGAGGGGCAGCCTTGGGAGGAGAGCTGCCTCTGCTGTTTTGCAAAGGGAGAGAGTTGGTGAAAAGAAACACCTGCATGGTCATACATGGCAGGAGAGCTGCTGCCTACAATTCCAGTTTTTAAATAAGAAAACTAATAAAGGGAGGTTTAATAACTTGGCCAAAATTTAAACACTGTCTGACTCTAGCATATGTGTTCTTTACTATTACACAATACTGATATAAAAATGTTAAATGAAATCATATACTGGCCTATGCAAATATACAATATGTACTATTAAAATTGTTTAAATGCATGTGCACCAGAGACATTAATTCAATACTTTGGATTAGGTATATTTAGTAGCATATGTGTGAATATAATCTATCACATAGAATAATTTTTGATGCATATATTAGATACATATAATTTCAATTTATATGCAAACTTCTCTACTTCTCTACATATAGCTTTCATAGATAGCCCATCAAGAGTCACCAGCATACATGCCTTCAGTACCTGGCAGGAAACACAATGAGTGAAATATTTAATGTATGGATTAAAATGACAGGAAAAATGAAAACTTATACTAAGTTTTTGGAATCATAGAACACGATTTATCTAAAGAAGGAAAGGACTACTCATTTATAGTACACATTTCATGTGAGATAACAGGTATAGATTTGCCAAATCTTTCCATAATCCAGGAAAAGAAAATCTGAAATATTACGTGAAATATTTCCAACTAGTCAGAGATCTTTTGAAACAGTGTGAGCCTAATTTTCCAGTTCTAATTGACTCTGAGAAATAAAAATACACAAATTGTGTGGAAATGTATTTTTTTGCCTCTAGTAGTAAATATATATAATGAAAAACTCTACATATATATAGGCGAATGTTGCTTCTGCCTTTTTCCCTTCCTTCTGCATCATCACTTATCGTCAGGGAAATGCAAATCAAATGCACAATAATGTACAATCTCATACCTGTGAGAATGGCCCATATTAAAAAGAGTAGATATCAAGTATTGGTAAGAGTGTGTAGAAAAAGGAGCCCTTATACAGTTTTGGTGGGAATGCAGACGTGTCCATCTCTTACAGAAAGTAGTATGGTGTTTTCTCAAAATATTAAAAATAGGTGCACCATATGAGCCAGCAATACCACTGCTATATATCTACCCGAGGGATGAAAAGACACGCATTGGAAAGTACATCTACACCCCTATGTTCATTGCAGCCCTATTTACAATAGCTGAGTGATGGAAAAAAAACTAATGCCCAATGCTAGATGAATGGCTAAGAAACAAATCTAAATGTGTTATATATACACAATGGAATACTACACAAATATTAAATGAAATAGAATCTTGGCACTTGCTGCAACATGGATGGAACTGGAAGAGATTTTACAAAATGAAATGATTCAGGAGGCGAAAGAAATACAGGATGGTTTCATTTATATGTGGAATATAGAAAAACAAAACAATACCAAACCTTAAAAATCAGACTGTAGAGGAGGGGAGACAGTAAAGTGGGCAGGGGGCACATTGACTTTGGTGGAGAAATATGGGAGCCTTGGTGGTGGACATCTAAGATGTCTAAAGATGTGATCCTATACAGCATATACAGTGCCGTAAACCAATGTTACATCAATAAATAAAATAACGATATAGCATTGAGGACACCAGACGGTGGGTGTCTGGGATAGGGATCAAAGAGGAGGAGGATTCCTAATTAACTATAGTGGACAATTATGGGTGAGTGTGGTGAGTATACATATCTACAGAGTTATGAACTTATATCTCTAAATCCCATACAGTGCTGTAAAGCATTATCTTAATAAAAATATAATAAAATAATGAATCAAATTTTAAATCTCCATAAAGTTCTAATATATGATTTATATAGAATGCATACATTTTCACACTTCAAGTAAAGAAAATAAGCTGTTATAGTTTAATTTTTTTATCTTTCAAATAAATGAAACTTTGGTTTCTTCTAACATCTCTAGCAAAGATGTCTAGAATTATTAGATTTTATGTTACACTCCCAGTATAACCACCATTCATTTCCAGAAATACACACATCCTTGTATTATACCAATTTTTAAAACATTCTGCTTATAAAATTAATTTTATTTATTTTAATGAAAACGTAAAATCATATTCTACCATTCTACCAAACTTTACAGTGGATTAAAAATTCTAGGTATGGTGAAAAATAAAAAGAAATAACATTTGTGAAACACAAAATTCTAAAAACATGTCACAAATTTATAGATTTTATTATTTCTAAGTCCTTTTAGTTCTTCCTAAAAAAGCCCTTTCTTTCCTATTGTTGCCTTTATTTCCATATAAGTTTACAGTGTCATCCAATAAAAATATAGTGTGAGCCACAAATACACCCAAGATATGTAACTGAAAATTTTCTGATACCCACAAAATGAAGGTACAATATAGTGACTTTAATTCAATAATATATTTAAGCTAATATATTGGATACATTACCTCTCCAACATATAGTCAATATAAAACAACCCACTAAGGAGAAATTTCAGTTCTGTTTTTTTTTATACTAAGTTTTTGAAACCCAGGTATATTTTATATTTATGACATGTTAATGTGACCTAGCCATATTTCAAGTGCTCAGTAGTTAATGTACTCAGCACTTATGACAAATAGCTAATATACTGAATAGCAAAACTCAATGATGAGACCCTTATGTTTCGCTGGACCAATCACAACTGGAAGAAGTATTTTAATAATCTTTTTTTAAGATAATTGTATATATTATTCTATATCAAAACTGAAGTAGTTTTTTCAAGGATAGTTTTGATTATAATGTAAAACCATTTCAGTTACATTAAAATACATTTAGCTACCTGTTCTTTGAATAGATCTTTTCCCCATGAATGGCCCTTTAACAACTTCTTGCATTGGTCATTTGGAAAATTGGTTCACTGAAGACTATTGATTTTTCAAATGTTGACACATTTCATTACATAATACCAAGAAAAAAATGAATTCTTTCATATGACCGCTGATCTTATCAGGAAACTAAATAAAGGGCAGCGATCAAGTCCACAGTGGAGAATACAAACTTTCCAGTGTTCTAATTGATGCTTCAAAACTTGTATGGTATCTTTAGCAACAAATACTATTGCTTTCTTAAAGTAATAGGCTCACTCACTTCATTCAATTTTGTGTAAATGCCCACCAAAAATTCAATCTGAATAACCATACTTTGCTTCTAAGTTCTTCTTTCCTTTTTTTTTTTTTTTTTTAAAGATTTATTTATACAAGCACTGGGTACAGTCAGAAGCGCGGGAGGGTGAGAGCCATGCGGGACCCTCCGATGGCTGGGCAGCCGGGGCGCAGCCGGGGCGCAGCAGGGGCGCAGCCGGGGATCGAACCTGCACCGCAGAGGCTGCAGGCAGCTTCTCAACCCAGCACTCAACCGCTGCACCACCGGGGAAGCCCTCTAAGTTGTTCTTTCAAATAAAATACTATTCCTTGAAAAAAAAGAAACTAACTCAACTGTCATAGTACTTTTCCTTGAAACAGTCTTCATACTCCCTTTTATAGCAAAAATGTTTTCTGTATACTTTCATTTCATTGCACAAAATGTTAAAAAGGTTTTTAGTCAAGAATGGATTTGTTAAAAGTAATACGGTTTGTTTAAGTGTGGACATTATTAATTGAAAATGACTTTATCTGATCATGTATGGCTATGAAGCACACAATGGCACACAATGGCGACAGCAGTACAAATGTAGGGACAAAAAAGAAAATAATGTTCTAATATACTCAAGAAAAAAATTGATTTTGTTGGCCCAGAAAATGATTTTTGGGATCCTCAGTTTCATAGACTTCTCTTGTAGAACTGTTAATTCACATTTTAAGCAACAGACCACCCATTCATTGAATAGACATGGAATGTTCAATATATGTCAGAAATTATTCCAATGGCATGATATACATTGGCATACACTAAATATTTAAAAAACAACAACAAAACCTCTCCTCATGGAGCTCGTGGAGGTAGAGGGGAATGGACATAAATAGAATAGTTTCATTAAAAAGAAAGAATGTGAGGTAATGGCCATTTGCATTATTAAATAGGGTGCTTGAAGAAGCCTTCCTTCCTTGTGAAAAATATCCTTGCAAATATTTGAAAAGGTTGAGGGAGCTAGTCACGAAAACATTTGGAGAAAGAACATTATAGGCAGAGTCCCTGCAAAAGTTCGAAATGAGAACATTTTGGGGTGTTTGAGGAACAACAAATTGAACAGTATTACTGAGGTTAAATCAGTTAGAGGGAGAAGAGTAGAACATGCAACCATAGAAGATCAACTTATCAAGGACTTCATGGTATTCAGTAATAACTTCAATATTTCTCTAAAAGCAATGTATAATATTAGGAGGTTTTATTTTTTTTTTGTTTATTTATTTATTTGTTTGTCTATTTGTCTGTTTGTTTATACATGCACTGGGTACAGTCAGAAGCGCGGGAGGGTGAGAGAATTCACCAGAGCCAGAGCGAGGAGCAGAGCAGGCAGAAGTGAAGTACACTGCTGAGGGGAGCAGCGGGCGGCAGGAGAGGTCTGCGCCATGTGGGACCCTCCTCCGGTGGCCGGGGAGCAGCCGGGGATCGAACCGGCGCTGCAGAGGCCGCGGGCAGCTTCGCAACCCAGCGCTCAACCGCTGCGCCACCAGGGAGGCCCAATATTAGGAGGTTTTAAAAAGAGAACTCACAAAACCTGAATTCTATTTTAAGAAATCACTGTGACTGCTATAATAATAATAAAAAAAAAGACTTCAGTTGGTCAAGAGTATAAAGCATGGAGACAAGTTAGTAAGTTTGTATAGTGACACAGGTGAAACCTACTGGTGGTTTCAACCAAGTATTAATATTAAAATAACTGAAAATGTGCAGATCATACACACATATATATGTATACTATATATATAGTGTATATATATATACACACAAGGTATTTATTGGTGTTAAATATTTATATTTATACATCAGTATTTACTGAGGGATTGAACATGTGGTTTAAGAGAGAAAGAAACATGAAATATTAGCCTAAGTTACTCAAAGATGATTTGGTCATCAAGTGATTGGAAAGACTATATATGGGAGAAATATGATCAGAAAGAGTTCAGTTATGAAACATTAGACATCATTATTAGACATTCAAGTGTAATTGTTCCATATACAAGCAGATACATAAATACGATCTCTAGGAGTGAACCTGAGGAAAAGATACATTTGAGAGATCTAAGTATATAGATAATTTAAAGTTATATGTCTGAATGAGTTTACTGAGTCATAGGGAACTTACAGAAAAGAGAATCAATGAGAAATATATCAATACTAAAAGGTTAGTGGAAGGAATGAACTGGCAAAGACTATTGGAAAGAAATGAACAGTGACAGAAGAGATAAGCAAAAAAGAGTGGTAACCAGAAAGTCTACATGGTTACTGGATGATGTAAAAGCTCACTTAAGGACTATAATCATTAATTTAAATTAAGACTAATTACTCAATTATATATACATATATATATATATATATTTGCAGACATATTTCACATGGGCATAGTTCTGGAGAAAGGAGAAAGTGGAATTAACTACAGTTAGGGTTATGACAATTGAGTATGATGTTGGGAAGGGTCAAGGAAATTGAATTTTTATGAGATTAAGTGCTAATAATAATTCATAAAAGTGTTATAAAGCTAGTAAGCAGGGAAGAGAATACAAATAAGCAGAGGGAGGGGGGAAAAATAGAAGGATAAATTGATTGATGATCAAACCAGATGGGGGCAAAAGAATGCTGGAATTACCCAAACACATCTGAATTATGGTCAAAGTGTAGGAGGTTTAAAATGAGAGTCTAGAGGTGTTGTAGTAATCATTAATACAAAATAACTGGTTTCAAGTTCTTGTAGTAGGGTAGAAGATAGAGCCATGGGAGAAAAGGCATTAAAGGAATTGTGAATTAAGCATATTGAAACAATCACATTTTCAATGTATTACCAAAAATTAAGATAGGAGAACTTTTGAATATGATAATGGTAACTCAGAAGCTAAACTTACTGATATTTGTTTAGCATTAACTCAATGTTTGGAAGTGCACAAAAATAATGTGAGACAGTGAGTGACAGAATCACATAAAGAAAATAAAGTTCTGGGCCTCCACTGGTGGCACAGTGGTTGAGTGCTGGGTTGCGACGCTGCCCGCAGCCTCTGCAGCGCTGGTTCCATCCCGGCCGCCTGCGAGGATCCCACATGGCGCGCGGACCTCTCCTGCTGCCTGCTGCTCCCCTCAGCAGTGTACTTCATCGGTCTGCCTGTTCTGGTCCCTGCTCTGACTCTGGTGAATTCTCTCACCCTCCAGCGTTTCTGACTGTGGCCAGTGCTTGTATAAATAAATAAATAAATAAATCTTAAAAAAAAAGAGAGAGAATAAAGTTTTTATTGTGCACTGAGGATCCTATTCTGCCAATGGGTCTAGGAAGACTGGTGGAAGGAAAATTAAACAAATACATAAACAAAAGCTACTACTTAACATGGCAGGAGTGTCTTCAGGAGACTCAGAATTACATGAATAAAGAAGGTTTTATCTAAAGTAAAAATCTTATATTCACTCATTAGTAAAAAAAAAAAAATTAAATAGTTTCCTATTACTTTTGGAAAGAGCTCCAATATTTTTAAGATGGCCCACAACTTTTATATGTAACACCTACTTCTATCTCCAGTCCAATCTTTCTTTCATTTTTCTTCTCTCACTCTTCAAAGCCAAGTGAGTAAACATCAGTCATTCATCATTTCTCTTCCTGCTTAGTCTAGCCACATGTTCTCTGCATAAGAGCCTTATTTCCTTCCATATCTCCTTCTCTTGACTAGAAGGCTTTCAAATTTTATCATAAATATTCTTTTGTGAGAAATTTGTCCTTGTATATAAATTATGATTTACAAATATATCACATTAGAATTTCTTTGAATCCAATTTCTTTGTGTGCAACTATAGTTTCGATAATTTTAAAGGTATATTTTTAAACTCTTACACAATAGCTTATAGAGTCCACATACACACCCTATAAACTTCACATTGCTTACATACATTATATATACATATATATGATTATATATTCTTATGTTTGTATATTTTAATTATACTTACTGTAGTGACCTTACTTAACAATGTGCAAAGTTTAATAAGAAAAATGACAAAATAATTTTATATAAAGTTTACAGATTTTAATTTGATCAACAATCTATGTTGAACTTAATATTTCCTATGTTAGCTTCATGGATTATGTGGGCCTTTGTGTACTTTATTGAAGTTTTACTCTTAAAAATGAGAATGCTCTTGCCTTCATTCTGACCATAAACATGATTATTGGTCTTTACTATTATCTAGAAGAAAGATATCTGATCATTTCATCTGCACATATCTGAAGATTTATTTGTCCAGAGAACTTAATGAATGCTGTGGAAAGTGAAGGCTTAGTAAGTTACAACGAATAAAATGCAAATTATACTTGATTCTGTCCTTATGTGAAAATTAATTCCAATAATAATTCTATTTAAAACTTTTAATGGATTCATCAGAAAAAGAGTCTAAATAACTCAAATGTTCAAGTTGGTAGATTCCATATTGTAGATATATTGGTGTTTAATATTTTCAATAATTTTTAAAAGAATTGTTCCTTTATTGTAATATTTTATTTTTATTTATTTTTACAGAGAAGAACTGGGGTGTAGGCCATAAGTGGGGGTTGGGAGGATCTACCAGAGACAGATTGGGGAGCAGAACAGGCAGATCTGAGATACACTGCTGAGGGGAGCAGCTAGCGAGCGAGACAGGAGAGGTCTGCTGTACCATGTATGTTAGCTCCCTAGCCTAGGAATGAACTCAGGCTGATTTGCCACTGGAGTGCTTTGCAGTGCTAGTGCTAAGATTTAACCCCTGGGTCACCAGGGAGGCCCCAATATTTTTTTTTAAAGATTTATTTATTTATTTATACAAGCACTGGGTACAGTCAGAAGCACAGGAGGGTGAAAGAATTCACCAGAGCCAGAGCAGGGAACAGAACAGACAGACTAACGAAATACACTGCTGAGGGGAGCAGCGAGTGCAGCAGGAGAGGTCTGTCGCGCCATGTGGGACCCTCGCCGGTGGCCGGGGATCGAACCGGCACTGCAGAGGCTGCAGGCAGCTTCACAGCCCAGCGCTCAACCGCTGCACCACCAGGGGAGGCCAGGACCCAATATTTTTAATATATTTTAATATCAGGCATGTCACACATCTGAAGAGGTATAATCCTATCCTATATCTCTGTATTATATACAGTGTTGTAAACCAATGTTACCTCCATTTAGAAAAAAAAAAAAAATGTTAACCTCAAACTGCCCATGGGGATGTTCTGTTACTGAGCTTGTATATAGCCCAAGGGAAAAAAAAAAGTAACATAAAAGTGATACTATTGACTGAAGAAATATATAGTCAAGGATCATCAAAGGGGGATTTTGGTAAAACAAGGAAATCACGTTGATTGGAACACATCTTTGCCCCAAAATATTTCCTTAGTTTGCTTAATTACAAATGATCTGAAAGTAATAAAAATTTCATACATTTTAATTTCTACAGCACAACTCGTGAATCATTTTAAAATTTTAAGGTGCTCCAGTTAACTGCAGACCAAATAGAAATGCAATGCTTATGGGATTATTGTCACAATCATATAAAAAAAAATATTATGCATTTTCCAAATGTCTGAATGACCATTAAACTGTTTTTTTTTCCTACTCTAACCTATAGCTATCAATAGCTTAAATGAAAATTAATCACACTTATATTATAGAAAACCTGCTCAAATAAATTTACTAGTTCTAGCAGTTGAAAACTCACCTCTGGCTAGTATTCTATGTAACACTCAACCAGCATTAATAAAGTTTTATTTACTTACAAGTACATCTGCTTTGCCACTGAGTCCCTTCCCATAGTCATCCGTTGCGATAACTTGAAACTTGAAGTAGGACCTCCTCATGTTGTGGAAGAGCATGGCAGTTTTGATAAGCCCTGTATATGTCTCTACCACAAATCCTTCTTTTCCCTCTTTAATTGGTGGTATTATGAGTCTGTATGCCATGGCACTGTAATTGCCAGTATCTTTATCAGTTGCCTAGGAAGGGAGGAGAAAAGATTATAAATATGAAGGAAAAGATAAAAATCTTAATTATAGGACTTTTCTTCTGTTTGAAATTTTTTGTAACAATACAGTCCCCCTAAATGCTTTTTTTCTCTTAGATATTATCTCGATTGATAGGTTTTTGGGTCTAATAACAACTATTCAGCCCTGTTGACCCAACTAAGTAATTGTTATTAAAATGATAACAACTATTCACCTTGAATACAAAGAACATAGACACTAACAGTCTAGTTAATGACAAGTGTTTTCATTGGCATGTCTATGGGTTCAACTCTGGACAGATTCAAATTGGCTTAAAGATGGGACTGGTTGTTTACCCAACCACTGTCTAGTGTAAAAACATAGCATGAGACTACTTTTGATTTAAACTTAAGTAGTGGGAAAAACAGCAAAAAAGTACTAAATTATCTCAAATGGCAATAAGATAAATCAAATTTCAGAATATTTAACCAATAAGCCCAGAGATGTATAAAGAGTATAGCTAGATCCCATCAATTTTGCAACAACAAAAACCTCAGCTCCCCTAGACTAAAAATTAAGGATAAATGGAATTAACTCTAACATTTGCTCTCTCTTCCAGCATTCCCTCCTCATGATTAACCATTAACTGGCTTCACCTAAATTCATGGGAACTTGGAAAATTGATTGTGTTATATCCCTAATAAAATTGTCTGTTCCCTTTCGGGGTTGATAGTATCAAAAGAAACATTTATTAGTGACAGAAAACACTCTCCTAGGAAAGTCATATACCTTGACTCCTGTCATCGAGACTGCCCAGCAACTATTTGGAATTTGGACCTGGAAATGTGGAGCCATGAATTTCCTTCACACTCCATCTCCCCCTGTAAAGTCCCAGCATTCCTGTCAGTCAGGTAGCTGGGTTTTTTTTTTTTTTTTTTTGGGTGCCTATCCAGATGACTCCCTTGATGGCCATTTCAAATAAACTCTGTGTAAAGATTTTTCTAGTGATTCAGGATTTGGCTTGCTTTATTTTTTAATTTAGGGTTAACATGAGAACTTCCACTAAAATAATGTAAACTTCATGGAAGTATAGAAAACATGAACAAGAGCCTCCCTGGTGTCATAAGGGTTAAGTCTCAGAGCTATCACACTATCCTTGGTCAGGGAGCTAACCCATTTATGGGGATGCAGACCTTTTCTGTCTTGCTGCTGCTCCCCTCAGCAGTGTGTTTCAGTAGATCTGCCTGTTCTGCTCCCAACTCTGTCTCTGGGTAATCCTCTCCCTGTCCTCCTGTCCTGCCATCCATACCTCTGGCCTACACCCTAGTTTTTCTATGCATAAATAAATAAATCTTTTTTAAAAAGAAAGAGAACATGAACAAAATGTAAAAATCATAAGCATACAGCTCACTAAAATGTTGTAAATATGCCCATTCATGTGACTAGCACCTACACCAAAAAAATAAAACATTATCAGCATCCCAGAGTATCTTTCATGCACTTCCAGACATACTGAGCTTCCTATCACTATTCTGATGTTTAACATAGAATGGTTATGCACATTTTTTAAACTTACGTAGATGAGATCATAATATACATCCTGTTTTTAATTTATTCAATTATGTATTACACAATTATACATTTTTATATTTTAAAATAAACTAACAACACAATCACATTTAGAAAAGAAAGATGATTACTATAAAAGCATAGTTATGGCTTGGCATATTGAGCTCCTTTTCACAGTCCTTACAAATTAAACTCTAATTTCAATAAACAAACAATTTCATTTCAGATTTTCTAATTTGCTAAATTATGATAATAGCTAAATTTTGCCTAAAGAGATGAAGTTGTTTTTGTTTTAACATTCCTTTCCTGAAACAAATCATCACTTAACACAAAAGTTTGGGTATGAAATTAGTAATTTTAACCCAGAAATGTCATTTTATTTCATGAATTTTATTGTGCATTTGGGGTAAATTGTCAAAAATGAGATATAGGTTTTAAAAAGTCATGTTTACTAGACCTTTTAAAAAATATGTAAAACACTGGAACAGATTTTGAAACACCCAAAACAAACCCTAGAAATATGATTGAAGAATTGAAGCTACCAGAAGGGGTTGATGGAAGAGAAGAACAAAGAGGAGACCCAAAGGTCAGTGGTAGATTATTATGGGTGCTTTGGTAGTGGGTGTGGCATGACAGAGATGTGAACCTATTCCCCTAGCATATGTATATGATTCCTCTAATCATATATAGTGTTGTAAGCCAAGGTGGCCTCAATAAAAAAAAAAAAAAGTTACAAAACTAATAAAAGCATCCTCAAAAGGAAAAAAGATCATTCGGGCTTTATTGTTACTTAAATCTTCCTCTTCATAACTTAAATGTTTTATTTCTTTATTTTAATGTTTTTTTTTTTTCTAGAAGGTTACTATGCTACATCATTCACATGCACTTTTATCCTAACAAAAAATTTTTAAAAATTCTTAAAAAATAAATTTTTGGTTTCTGAATGGACTTGATCATCTTCTTGTACATGGCACATGCAATAAACCATTGTGAAAGTCATAAGTATGGATAATAGTTCATCCATCTTTGAGCTCTCACTGCATCAGTTCTATTCCATAACCATACTCTAGTCTTTTGGCACATGAAGATAATTCTCCTCAAGAAATAGTCCATTTCTGGATGTATAAACTTTAACAGAATTTTCTCACTACAACCTTCCATCCATTTCTTATTTAGGACCTTTTTGTTGATATTTGTGAATTTTTCAGTCACATAAATACTTTCTCTGCTCACATTACTTCAGGGATTATGTCCTCCCCTCTCCATCACAGAAGTCATATCCCATCACACTGATTTTTGTCCTTCAAAGAAATATGGACGTTTCTCCTCCTGAATCACATTAATCATTAACCTACTTCTGGATGAATAAAGAGTGATAGTAACTTACTACTACTGATAATAATAATCTCATAGTAACAATAACCTGCTTGATTATTTAACTTCTTTTGGGTTCATGGTCTCTGAATTGTACTATACCTTTGGTTTGTTTAGAAAATTTTTGTTATACATGTGAGTTTTATATTTCACTCTAAAAGTTTACTCTGGGGGCCTCCCCAGTGGCGCAGCGGTTGAGCGCTGGGTTGCGAAGCTGCCCGCGGCCTCTGTGGTGCCGGTTCGATCCCCGGCTGCTCCCCGGCCACCGGAGGAGGGTCCCACATGGCGCGCAGACCTCTCCTGCCGCCCACTGCTCCCCTCAGCAGTGTACTTCGGTCTTTCTGCCTGCTCTGCTCCCCACTCTGGCTCTGGTGAATTCTCTCACCCTCCCGAGCTTCTGACTGTACCCAGTGCTTGTATAAATAAATAAATAAATCTTTAAAAAAAAAAAAAAAAATAAAAGTTTACTCTGTTCTTCAAATCACATTTATTTTCCATCTCTTCCAGGGATAAGGATGCTATAAGCCATTTAAAAATTAAGGACATCAAATGTGAAACCTGTCAACTTCTTATCCTATGACTAAATAACTACCTATATCTGCACTTAATCTTACAATTTTTCTTAAAGGAACAGTTTATTATTTTCTCCCATTGAGGGTACTCATCTGAATCTCTTCCATCTCTCTAGCATTTAATGCTTCATCATCTGCCTTTATCTCTATCTCCTTAATGTTTACCTTCATAGACTTTAAAACTTCTACCTCTTTCATTAAAGCAAAAACCATTTCATTTACTCTATAACTACTTATAATACTTTCCCCGAGCTTCCATATTTTTTCAGTTAAGTTCCTCAAAAAACTGTTCTACACTCAGTCTCCAATTTGTAGTCATTCTGTAAATTCAACTAGAATTCATAACTTATTCCATTGAAATTGTAAGTCAGTGACTGAAGTTGTCTCAACCACAGATCAATAAACCATCCAGAGTTCTTCAAACCACAATGTCCACTTAACATTATTTGTATAATGTTATTGTTGCTGTTGCTAGCTAATATATATTGAACACATTATTTTCTAGATGCTATATACATAATTTCATATATTATCTCATGTCATCCCTTCCACTGAATAAATTTTGTTATTATTTTATAAGTGAAGAAATGGAGGAACAGAAAGATTATTAACTTTTTCATTATCACAAAGATATTTGATAGCAAGTTTACAACTGAATACTTTAAAAATCATTAGCAAACTGTAAACACCTGCTAATAAGTATCATATATATATTATATATATATATACACACACACACACACACACATATATTTAATCCTCTCTCCCAAACACAAAATTCTCACTATAGGAGTGAATGAGAAAGTCATCAATCCTGTCCTGCCATCCACACCTCTGTCCTGACATCCACACCTCCACACCATTAATACCAACACCATGCCAAAACACACAGAAAACTGCCAAACTTAAACTTTAATATTGAAAGCAATGGGGAAAGACTTTTTTTCAGAATCTATAACCAAACATATGCCCTTGTTAGAGTCTGCAGCGTTTTGTACACACCACCAGTGTGCTCAACAGGTAAAGCGGAATGATTGATTTGGTAAATACAAGGTTTAGGGCCTCCCTGGTGGTGGAAGGGATTAAGCACAGCACTGTGAAGCTATCTGTAGCCACTACTGCACGAGTTCGATCCCTGGCCAGCCATGGAGCTAACCCAAATGGTGCAGCAGACCTCTCCTGACTCTCCTGCTGCTCCCCTCAGTTGTGTATTTCAGTCAGTCTGCCTGTTCTGCTCCCCACTCTGACTCTGGTGAATCCTCTCACCTCCTATACCTCTGGCCAGTAACCCAGTTTTTGTATGCATAACTAAATCTTAAAATACATACATACACACATATATACAAGGTCCAGAAATCTACCTGAATGAACAGGAAAGCCACAAACAGAGAATTTGAGAAAAGTGATTAGGGACTGATAATGGCATAGCCTCCTCAGAGAAGCAAGTGCTTTTTAAAATAAACTTCTTCTATCTTATGCATCTTATGCTTGCTTCAA